TTTAAAACGGCTAGGATTACAAGAATCGAAATACATTTTATTAAGATTAAAAGAAAATGATCAAATATCAAATGAAAGTGACGAGATGAATGATAGTGATGGTATGATGGAATTAGGTCTCATTCAAACAGAGGGAAACTATTATGAATTGGGTTTAACAAATCTAATTCATTTAAGATATTTACTATTGAAAAAACCTGAATTATTTCCATTTTATTCACATTCATTGTTAAATACTGATTTTGATCCCAAAACATTTTTACCATCACAGCAATTATTAGAGAAATTAGAACAGATAAGGAGTAGTGAACAAAAAGATCTTATTTAACTGTACACTAGAATAGTAAATCTCTTTACTCGAGTACTATAAACTGAATCTACTAGTATTAAATATCGAAAAAAGCATCGTTTCGAAGATGGTAAACTTACCATCATGATTCAATAGTTTTTGTTTCTAATAGTAAATGAATGGTGTGTAAAGCAACTGGAAAAGAGTCTGAAACGAAAAAAAAGAAGAAATTTAAAGGTAGCCGTTCATAACAAAACTTTCTAACTCATATTTTATGGTTAATTAAAATGGTTTCAATTTGAGCTTCAAAAGCTGTTTCAGTTTAATTGTTCCATACATTAAAAGAAGCACCAAGTACAAGAAAGAAAACAATGATAATTTTCAAAAGAAAAAACACTTTATCAGCTTCTACCTGTTATATGTAGTAGAAAATTTGTTACTCATGCAAAGCATACCATAATGCACAGTGAGCATTACGCAGGCGAACATGTGGTTTTTTTAGTTAAAAAACGATTATTTTCGCATAACATTGCTTAATTATGTCTAAGATATTAATATAATTAAAAAAACTCAACGTCGAAGCATCGCTGAGGGATTGTCCTAAATTTTTCTTAAAAATGTTTTTATTTGTAAATTTAACAAATCATACGACGCCATTCGACGCAGTTTCATGCGCTGATTCTAAATATGTCATTAGTTTTCAATAAAAGTGTTTTTAAGCTGAGAAAAAATATATTTTACTTCAAAAACCAGGGTTTCTTGGAAAATCCATGTCAAATTCCAGTAAAAGAACCGCATTCATAATGAACGATTATGATTTTTCTCTTATTCTTTCTTATTGATTTTTCTCTCATAGATTCTATGACTAAAGTGAACATTTTTTTCATTGATAGATAGTTGAGTGTGTCTAGATTCGAAATAGATACTTTTTACAAATATAATAAGCCTTAATGAAGTAAAAAAATGTTTTTTCCCCGAGGTCACAAGTATTTAGGTTATTTTTCTTCATATATTTTTCCTAAAACTGAACAAAAATGTTTACATCATTCGATAGCCCATAGATCGAAGTAAATGTGACACTATATGAATCTTGAAAAATCTCACTTTCAATTTTTCATCAAATGTCCGCCTGGATGCCTACTGTGTAATGGTCGAAAATCTTCACCATGTACGAATATATTTAGACTATTCTATATCAAATCTATAAAAGAAGATTTAGAAAACTCGATAATTTTTTAAAAACGTTTCTAGAAAAAGTTTCAACAACAAAATAGTATTTTCCTTTTTTTCGATTGTACATTAT